GCCGGACCCTGCAGACTGATTCCGAGAGCCGCTCTCGTCGCTCTGTCTTTCTCGCACTCATGGGGCGTCCCGTCAAGGTGCGAGAGAGACAGAGCGACGAGAACGACCCTCGGAATCAGTCTGCTGTGCACCCCGTGCACGTGGAGCCTACACCATACGGCAGCGGGACGGACACAAGGCACAACAAGCAGCCGATGGTTAATCCAGAATCCAGATGGGCTGCGGGGTCGCTGGACCGGGGAGTGGGGAGCCGGGATGGACGAGGGGCAACCTTATTATTGTCCCACGCAGCCCTTCACGGGGTTCGATTCGGGGCGGGGGCTATTTATTGACAGTTTGCAATGAATGGTAGGAGTACGGCTATCGGGCCTCCAGATCTGATGGCCGGCTGGGCTCGGGCTAATCCAGGGTGTCGGACCGCGGTGATAGTCTTGGCGGAGTCCGACAGTGGAGCGGTTCCGAACAGCGCTTTCGTCGCTCTGTCTCTCTCGCACACCCACGGAACGCCCACCCCTCTGTGAGTGCGAGAGAGACAGAGCGACGTGCCGGGGCGGGGTTCTCGGCATCATCTCGACCGCGATCTGCCAAAGATTCAAAGATCCGAAGATCGGCCGGCGGGTCCATTTCCATTTCGTCGCCGATTCGCCGGTTCGATCGGGATTGGCGGATTGGCGGTCGTTACCATCAGCAAATGGCTCGGCGGTCTAAGTAGTTTGGCCGCGTTGCCACTCCGGGGATTATTTTATTTGGGGAAGCGCGGCAGCCAACAGCTACTTGGAGGCTGGCGACGGAATCTGGAGCGGCGCTGCCGGGATTCGCAAACTTTTCGAGTCGCGGCCTTCTATTTGTCGCGCGCGGTGTACACTGCAATACTGCACCGCCTCGGGAGTCCTTCCGCTACGAGGGGTTGCGTGTCGCTCGCGTAAAATGCATCGGCCTGCACCGTTGCGCGCGTTGCATGACGTTTTTGCTCTGCGCGTCGTGCCGAGGCAGGCAGGCAGCAGACCGATTCCGAGAGGCGTCTGTCTCTCTCGCACTCGCAGGGCGTCCCGTTCAGGTGCGAGAGAGACGGCGCGACGAAAACGACTCTCGGAATCAGTCCGCCGGCAGGCTGAGGCAGGCTGAGGCAGGCTGAGGTCACACGATGTGTCTCCAACTGGGCCGTTAACTGTTTATGTACCGCCCATGCAACTCATTGCACGCTCCCCGGTGCGACCGTGCGAGGCCGTGGCCAGGAGGGCCTTCGCGGGGAATGTCGTTTTATCGGCGGAGCGTGCAGCACCTCTAACTGGACAGCCCCTACGGCCGTTTCATTTTTGAAAATTACCGTTTTATTTGGTGGCGGTTAAATTCCAAGAAGTGGCCCTGTCTGAAAGGCCGCGGGGTAGGCGTCGGGGCACCGGTAAACGCTGGCGGGTCTAAGAGGTCCCTCTAGTCATCCAGCCCACCGCTACGTGCGATTGGGTTGCCCCGCAGGTTCTCCCTGACACGAACACTCGTCCCGGGAGATGCCTTATCTTTTCTTTAGTTGTGCTCTGGAGGCGACATGCAACCGGAGTCCAGCCCTGGCGCGCTGGACCGAGCGCCAACGCCGCAGCGCCGCAGCGCCGGGCAGGACGACAAGTACCCCGGCACGCCGACGGCACGGCGCCACCGAGACCGAGACCCGGCCGCTGGAAAAACAAAGTGATATCGGCCTCCTCCCTCCGTGGCCACCAGCGTTCAAATCTCCACGTAACAGCGCGCTGTCGCCCTGTCTCTCTCGCGCCTTGCCGGGCTGCCCGCGAGTGTGAGAGAGACAGAGCGCACTAGCGCGTAGCGGGCCGAGGTTGGGGTAGGTCCGGAGAGTTCGCCGGTTCGCCGCGGGACCCCTGCTGACTGTACACTGTACTGGCTGGCTGCGGTCGCGAGGGTCACGGGTCGCTGCAGCCGGGGCAAGCCGGAGCCTCTCCTTGCGGTTAGGGAAGGCACTGCACTGTCACCACGTCCGCTCTCTCGAAAAGTCCCCGCCATTTATGCAGAGCGGCGGGGCAAATTAAAATTGACAGCATTTTCCTGTGTCGACTGTCGCCTGGTCAGCCGCCGCTATGTAAAGCAAAACAGTGCTTCCCTGCTCGCCGGGATATCCGTGTCAAACCGCGGTCCGGAATGCACGACGTCGCGGTGCACGCCGTCGTGGCCGTGCTCTGTCTCTCTCGCACCCGAGCCGCCCGCGCGGGACGCCCCGCGAGAGCGAGAGAGACAGCCCTTCGGAAGGTGCACGCCGCCGTTGCACTCCGCGGCCGCTTCTACATATGCAAGCCTGGCCGATTTCTAGAAAGGAAAAATTAGAAAGGCGCGCTCCGCATGGCGGTTCTAGCGTCGGGCGCCGCGACGGGGGACTTGACCCGGCCGGGCGGGAGGCACGGGAGGGCAGTCCCCGTCACGGCGAAGTACCCCATCGCGCGGCCTAGCGTGACACGCCGACACGCCGCGCGCCCAGGCGTGGCGGCGGCGCAGCGTTCGGCGTTTACCCCGCCGTGAGTCACTCGGCCACCCCGTCAGTGACGTGTCCGCGACGCGTCTGCCCGTGACGTCACCGTTTGTTATGCATTTGGATTCGTCGCCCACCTCTTTGCCGCTCAATGCCGCCGCGTCGCCCTTGCCGTGCCGCGCCGCGCCGCGCCTCGCCCGCGCGCTCTATTTGTATTCATAACACACATCCCGCCGGACTCTGCTTTCGTCGCGCCGTCTCCCTCACACTCGCGGGGCGTGCCGCCAGGCGCGACGGAGACGGCGCGGCGGAGCGCGGCGCGCGGAGACAGCGGAGTCGCTTTTCTGCAGGTGAATTGGGATGTAATGAGGATAAAGTGTTGGGCGTGCGGCTGCGTGACGCGTGCTATGCGTGGGCCCTGCTGGCCGTTCTGCCGTTCCGGCCGAGTGTGGATTATTGTCATTTGCCAGGACGATGCCGATGCGCGGGACGAGCTTGGCAGAGCTTGGCCGCGCTCAGAATGTATCAATCCCCTTGCCGTTACACTGCAGAACGCACTACACTCATAGAGAAAGGAGAGACAACAGATAATGTGCAGGGACCTCTCCATCCGGTATGAGAAATCGCGTCCGCATGTGTGGCGCGGACTCGCGTTTCTCATACCGCCCGGGGTTTGGCGGAGGGATTTGGTCGGACTTTAGATACACTTGAAGTCTTTTGGGTTGTGGGAGGTGCAGTGGTCGTACGCTGTAAAACTGCGATGCGATGTGGAAGACGGTTGCAGACGAAATGGCTGGCAGACAACTGCTGCTCTTTCTGCTCCTCGCCCCGCTGCGCCGTGCACCCAAGTCGAGTCGCCCTGCTCTCCGCCACCTCCGTGAGTCCGTGAAGCTGAGGCTTTTGTACGCCCCGCTGCGTCGCTGCGTCGCCGTGCTGCTGCATTCGCCCATTCGCCGAGACGTCCCGGAATGCTACTTTTGTCAATGCACGCCGTGTAGAGACCTGCAGGCTGGTCCAGAACGCTGCCTCGTCGCCCTGTCTCTATCGCTCTCGCACCCACCCTCCGGGACGCCCCATGAAATGAGAGAGAGACAGGCACTGTTCGGACTCAGCCGGCTGGCCCACGATTCGGCCCGCTCAGTGTGACACTGCACCAGCCCCCCTTCTCGCATCCACTCATTTTCTCCATTTCGGGGTGTAGTAGTCCGTTATCTGTGACGTGAACGGTGCGAGTCGCAGGTAAATTTAATATTGAAATTAACTTCCTTTGTACCTTGCCTCGTAACTTTACACTGTTTACAAGGGACGAGGCCCCTAAAATCCAACATGCCACGCATGGCATTTACGTACCCCTTTTAAGATAAACGCATACACCCTCCTTCGCATTTACAGTCAGGAAACTAACGAGGGACTCCCCTATGGAAACAATGTGATAAGGGGGATCCGACTGTTTGTTTTGTTGGTTGGCGGTGTGACGGGGAAGTCCGGTGGATGCAAAACACTGGTAGCGATGGGAATACCGACACTCTCTTTCTCTTCCGTCCTAATCACAGCACGCACAGCACAGCCAACCGCCAAGGTCGCGCGGGCCGAACGTACTTTCTCGCCGGTTTCAACGAGGGGCACGGCGCGCGCGACTCGGAACCACCGCGAACGACCAGGAACGACCAGGAACGACCAGGAACGACCAGGAACGACCAGGAACGACCAGGAACGACCAGGAACGACCAGGAACGACCAGGAACGACCAGGAACGACCAGGAACGACCAGGAACGACCAGGAACGACCGCCCCCGGCGCCTGCAGAGTCGTTGCAGCGTGGTGACGCGCGGCGCAGCACGCAACGCGTTGCACCACCAGCACCGCCAGCGCCAGCACCACAGCATGCACACAATATCTTGACACGATGACGTGCCCTGCGAGCACTGCGAGCGCTGCGTGCAGCGGGAATGGAATGGAATGGAATTGCATTTTATACGATCGGCGAGGAGGCCCGCGGCGACGGGCGCCACAGCGCCCTCTGGTATAAAGGTTCGCGCTTGGTTCCCGCGCCCTTGAGGATCATCGGGGGTTCGAATCCCGAAAGGGCTTGGCAGATTTCGAGCAGTTGAAGTCGTTGACACTGTTCCTGTCCTGGTTACATGCGCGTGCAGGTTGACGGCGTGCTTGTCGGGGGTGGTCGGCGGCAAGTCAAGTCTTGTCTTGTCCTGTCGGGGACTGCCGGGGGCAAAGGCACACACCTGGCCTCCCCCTCCGCCCCGCTTCGCTACCGCCACTGCCAATGACTCAGAGGAGGGGTGGGGGAGGTTGTAGTACCTGGCCCGGTGCGCGGCGTGGCGTGGCGCAGCCCGACCCCTACTCGATCTGTTGTGTTGTCTCCCTGCAGCCGCCGCGCCGCTGGCCCCGGCTCGGCTCCGCGCGCGGCTCGGCTGCGCTCGGTTGCCGGCGCTCGGCTCGTACTCGTCGCGCCAGCCGCCAGCGGCGAGCCGCGAGCGCGAGCCGAGCCGAGCCGAGCCGAGCCGGCCGGTTGGTCGGTTCAGTTTTCGTGTAGCAGCCGACGCGGGAGGTGCGGCCGCTGGTGACCCTCGCGCCCCGCGGTGTGACGACGTACCGACGCACGCCGGACCACTATCGCGAGTGTGTGAGTGTGTGTGTGTGCTCGACATGTGTCGGGGCGGTAATCTCCGCAACCGTGCAGTGAAAGTGATAAGTTCGACATTGTGAGTGCGCGTGTCGCCGGCAAGTGCTTCGTGGAGTACCTGGACTTCCCCCGCGCCGCCATGAGGCTGCTGCTGCTGCTGCCGCTGCTGGCGGCGGCCGTCGCCTCCCCCAACCCGCACGTCGCGGTGCTAAAGTGCTGCCCTTACGGCGAGACCCTGGACCCGCACACGGCCGACGGTCCGCCGGCCTGCATGCGCACGGACAACTTGGCGTCCTCCAGCCGCTGGACGCCCAAGATCTTCTCGAAGCGGCTCCGCAACTTCCTGGGGGCGGACGCGCCGCTGCCGGCGCACTGGACGGTGCACGCGGCGTCGCGGCCCCCGTGCGGCGACCGCGCGGTCATGGTGCTGGCGCACCCGCAGAACCACCCCGTGTTCGTGCTGTTCGAGGAGGGCTCGCTGTTCCTGCACGAGACCAACGAGATGCTGCCGGCGGGCCGCTTCTGCGTGGACGCCACGGCCGCGCTCGTCTGCCCCGCCAAGGACGACGACGCCCCCGCCACGTCGGCGGCGTCCTCGGCCGCGGCGCCCAACTCCATCGACGGCGGCGGCCCCATCAAGAAGTCGCACAAACCGCAAGTGCGCAAGTGCTGCCAGGACAACGCGGTGTTCGACGAGCAGCAGATGGCCTGCGCGCTGCGGCCCGCGTCCTCGCCGTCGGCGGACCTCTGGGCCGTGGCCGGGGAGCGCTACCGCGACGCCTTCGCCGTCATCAGGGGCTTCCCCAAGTGCGACAGGGACAGGCCCTTCGTGATCCGCGGCCACATCGGCGGCGGCCCGTCCGCGGCCAACATCACCGAGGCCCACCTGGAGGACGACGGCAGGGTGCGGCTGGGCGCCGGCGCGCCGCTGCACTTCGAGGAGTACTGCCTGGAGACGCTGCTGGACGCGGGCGGCGTGCGCGTGTTGGCCTGCCTGGCCTCCGGGGAGGTCCCGGAGCAGCGGGCCTCGGACCCGCGCTTCACCCTCTACCCCGCGCTGCTCTTCCTCAGCGTGTTCTTCCTGGCCGCCACCCTGCTGGCCTCCTGCCTGCTGCCCGCCGCCTACCACCAGCTGCACTGGCGCTGCCAGACCAACTACGTCGCCTCGCTCATGCTTGGCGACCTGTTCCTGGCCGTCACGCAGGTGTCCGGGGACGCCCTGCAGGGGCCTTTCTGCATCATTTTCGGTGAGTCTCGTTGCCGTCCAGGACGACCAGGACGAGAAGGAGGACGCTTGCACCTCCATCGATCATTCATTCATCCTGGCAGCACGGCAGCACCGCACCGCCGTCGCCCCTCTCTCTCCCTCTTTCCCACCGGCTCGGCTCACAATGCCTCGCCTTTCCTCGCGCTTCGCTTTGCTTCGCTTTCTCTAGCGCGCGATTCGACGCGCTAATTTTTGTAGCCGGCACCGCGGCCGGGCGAGGGATTTTCGCGCCGTCATCCGTCATATCGGCCCAGGAAGCCGGCCGCAAAAAAATAAGTAAAAGTCTGGAGATTCGAACCCGCGTCCTTCAAGTCTCCGGGCGACCCTCGTCACTCTCTCCAGGACCCGCAGGCCCTCGCGGGTCGGCGTGTCGGATTCATCCGCTGAATCGACAGGGGATTACTGTCACTGCGTCGTGGTGGTGGAGGTCCTGGTGGTGGTGCGGGTGGCGCCAGCCGGTCCCGGGGCGCGTCGTGCACGGCGTGCCCGCCTATCTGCCCTGCTGCAGTATTTACATGACGCATCCGGAGTGTGGCGGCGTGGCGGCCGCGGGGCGCCGCGAGGGCCTTGTTGATGTTGTGGTGGTCGTCGCGGTCGTCGCTTAGGGTCGGCCCCGCGGCCTTATCGCGGTGCTGCCCTGCTGGAGTGGAGTGGAGTGGAGATAGTAGTACTAAACACCGTGTGGGAACACGCACGCTCATGTCGCGGCCGTGGCAGAGACCGTGGCAGAGACCGTGGCAGAGGCCCTGGCTCCGCCGTGACGCTCGTGACGTCAGCACTCGGGGTGGGGCGGGGCGGGGCGGGGCGGGCCCGGCCTGGAATGCTGCCCCCAGCTCGTCAACGACGGCGTGCGCGGCGCGGCTGGCGCGGCGTGTGCAACCCCCTGGTCCTGCACTGCCGCCAGACCTTGCCCTCCATTGTCCGCGGCTTTGTTGTCATTTCCCTTTCTTGCAACGCAAAGGTGCGCGTCTCCGTCGTCTCCGTGCACACGGCGCGGCGTTGCCGGACTGCCTGCCGGCCGGCCGGACCGAGCCGTGGATCGCGCGCACCGCGCACGCTGAATGGACCAGCCAACCGCCAAACTCGAATGGCGTGGCGGCGAGCCCGCTGGCCGCGGGGCCTTGTTAGCCCCCAACACCGAGGCGGCGCGGAACGCTTCGGATCGTCCTCGTCTTCGGGGCGTGGAGCAGGGCGCTGCCGAGCCGCCAAATGAAATTGGTGCAGCAGGCGCAGGCGTTGGAAGCGGGAAGCACGACAACGCTGTCCGGGCGTGTGTGTCTGTAGAGATGCAGGTAATCCCCAATCCCCGGACCAGCCCGGACCAGTGTAGGGCACTCCATTCTCGTCTCTCTCGCTTTTCGTCTCCGTCGGTGAATTCTTTCTCTGGCTTGGCTTGCTTCGCTTTGATGTCGAGGGCTGGGCTCGGCCGTCGGCAGTGGCCCCGCATCGCTCCGCTCCCGCGATGAATCGAAACGAAAAAAAAAACAGAAAACCCTGCGAAAATAAGTCGACCAGCCCCTTTGCTTTGAAAATGGGCCGCTGACAGCAGAAGCGGTGTTCCTACAGTGTAGGCCCGGCTTATCTATCGCAGGGAGGGCGAGTGTCCGAATCGATTTGTCTCTTTGGCACCCGTTGGCCGGGGAAGGTTGATAAGGTTGGCGAGCTTGATAAGAAGGCGTGCTCCGCCCCCGTCGTGTCAAGGTCAAGGGGAATGATGCGCCCTTTCGGAAACAGAAAACGCCCAATATGCTGATAGGTTTGAATTTTCTCTTCCTTTTGCGAGCTGCTTAGTTACGTACCAGTTGTTTGTGCAGGTGGTTGGTGTACCACCGCACTGCTGGTTGGTACCCGAGCCGAGTGTCAGTCAGCTCGTCCGATAGCGGTGCGGGGTTCGGGTTCGAACCCTATCTCCGCGACGCGTCTTTTCGTTTTCTGCTTGCCTCTTGTTGTTGTTGTTGGCTCTGGTGGCGTGGTGGTTTTGAAACGCGAGCGTCGTGGACGCGTCGACTCAGCACCAGCAGTGCGACGTCGCCGTGCCGGCCGTGCCTTCCAGGGACGCATCTGGGCCAGGCAGGCCAGCGCCGTGCAGTGCGGTGCAGTGCAGTGAGAAAAGTGTCGGTGGTGCAACTTTCGGATCTTTGCTCCGCGCCGCGTGCCGCGCGCTGCGTGCGAGAGAGCGCACGCGTGTTGCGTCACCCGGGATTAGCACGTGTCGCCGAAAAAAGACGGAGACAGACTGAGAGGGACGTGGGGCGCGGAGCGTAGATAGTCGTGGAGGTATTCAGGTCGCGGCTGGCGGTGGCGGTCTTGGCCTCCCCCAGGACGGCGACGTCGGCGGCACGTCGGGCGTCGGCCACCCGGGCGGCTGGTACGGGGGTTGGCGGCGTGGTGTGCGCACGGACTGTACGTCAGCCGCGCTGCCCGGGCGCTGCCTCCCTCAGCCGTGCGTGACTAACGAAGACGGCAAGGGGAGGACTTCTTACTGCACTTACACATGCACCCGCGCCATCTCTCTCTCTGTCTCTCGCACAGCACGGCGCGCACGCACACACGGCACGCGGACACACCCACACTCTGGAACAAATTAAAGAAACTTACTTTAGCGCCCGTTTGCAGTCGTGGCGCGCAAAACAATTACACTTGCAGATGGCGGCGGCGTCGCGTCGCCTCGATGAAGTGCTCCAAGTTGAATGCGCGGAAAAATGGCGGCCTTTTAATTGGCTGTCGTTCTATTGCTATGCGCGTCGCGGCCTTCCCACGGCGGTGCCACCATCGACTGGCCGAGGATGGCGCCGTCCGGGCCGCCGACGGCGACGCGGCGACAACACGGCGGTCTTGGCCTCGGCGTCGCGTGGGACTCCGTGCCCCTTTCCGGCGCGCACCGCGGCAACGCTGGCGGTGGCCAAGGCGGTGGCCAAGCCGGCCCGGTGCGCCCTGGTGGGCCCCGATAGTCCGGCTTTCCGGCTCGGCGCGGACTTCCGGTTCACAACGGCGTCCGGCTCATCCTCCTCGCGGCCGAGACCGCCGTCGTCACGTTGGCGGTTCATGTAACAGAACGTGACGCGGCCCCGGGGATCCCCCGCGTCGGCGGCCCTTCCAGGACGCCGATGACGTCATGGCGGGGGTGCCGCGGCCGCGGTTGGCCGTCGTCACATATTGCGTGAGCCCGCTAAAGACTGATGGGTGTGGCGGGGCGTGGCGGGGCGTGGCGGGGGCCGCGCGACAAGTCATGTAAGACGTGGCCGCTGCCGGGCGGCGGACGGGCGGGCAGGTCGACAGGTCCGGGTCAGCCTGGCGGTGTTTGGCCGCCGAGGACCGAGGAGGACGCGCTGGAGGAGCAGGAGAAGAACGAGAACCTCATTTTGCGAGACGTTTTTGGGCCGGCGGTGTTTTTTTCTGCCCTGCGCGCTCTCTCTCTCTCGCTCCGCTGATCTTCCTCGCGACTTTTGCCCCGCCGTTGTCTCGTTTATTTGTTCTTTTTTGCTCGGCGTCTTATTTTTCTCGTCAAGGCGGCTGGCCCGTTCGGCCCGTCCAGCTGTCCGCCGACCGGGCCTCCTCGGCGTCCATTCCGCCAATCGGCGTCTCCTCCAGCGTCGAGGCGAAAGCTCGAAAGGCCGATTAATATTTCACCCTCGGCTTGCCGCATTATTTCCTTTTTTTCGCCGCGGCCTAATCGAATAGGTAGTGCATGTGCTTCGAGAACACGATGCCTTTAATAGGCTGCTCGGCTGATGCACTCACTCAGTCGAGGGGCGGGGCGGTGGCGGGGCGGGGTGTTCCGGGCTGGCTGACAATATAACTCGCTTTCACCCGGCCTGTGTGCGTGTGTGTGTGCGCGGCCCGGTAGTACCCGCCGAGCCGTGCCGAGCCGCGCCGTTGGCTGCCCGGCCGGTACGCGAGCGAGTCATGCTGATACGTGTACTTTGAACGGCGGGCGGTGCTAGGGCACTGGCAGTCTGGCAGTGCAGCCACGATTGGGGCAACCGGCCGGCCACATTACGGCAGTCTTTGTCTCTGTCTCGCACACGGGGCGGGGTCGTTATGTCATCGCAGTGCAGGGCCCAAGGGCAGGCCACCGTTGGAAATCCGCAAACGGCGCGAGAGAGCTTCGTGTCCAGGACGTCCGGCGGCTCGCCTCTGATTCGGAAGGACTGGAATGGGAGGATTAGGAACAAAATGGGGAAAAGGAGGCGAATGAAAAACGTGATGTCTATTAGCTGCGTTTGAAGATGCCGGCGTGTCGGGTTGGCCGGGCCGGGCCGGGTCGCTCGGGGTCACCACGCCGGATTGGGAGTGCGATGGGCCGTGGTCGCTTTGGAAGATAACGCCTCCGACATGTTTCCCACACAGTGTCATCCTGCCAATCAAATTTTTTCTCTCCTTCGTTTAATTCACTTTTTTTCCGGTCCTTGCCCTGTCTCTCTCCGTTTACCTCGCGGTGCGCATTGTCCTGCGTGTAATTGACTTTCCCAATCAAGATGGGGCCCAAATTGCTGCGAACCCCTGTCGCACCTGTCCGGACTGTCCCCGGCGGCACACAGTGGGCCAGAAGACCGGTGGAGGCGGCCAAAACTCGAGACGCGTTTCGAGCTCCAAAGTCGTTAAGCAGGACTCGAACCAAACGTTGTGACCCCACCAATGGATTCCTCGTTCGGAGAGCAATCCATTGGTGGGGTCACACGTTCGGTTCGAGTCCTATTTAGCGACTCTGGAGCTCCAAACGCGTCTAGAGTTTTGGCCGCCTCCACCGGTCTTCTGGCCCACTGTGCGGCAGGGCCTTGCTGCGCTGGGCGCTGCTGGGCGGTTTGGCTGTCGTTGGCTGGAAATTCCGAAAGCCTATCTTGATCTGGGGCCCGGCCAGGTCAATCAGCCAGCCGCGGCCAGCCGCCTCCCACGGGTCGCGCAGCACTGCGAAGAGGCAGCAACACGGCGAGGCGAGCGGTCAAGCACCGCGGGGAGGCCGAGGATGAGGGCGATGGC